AAGGAGAAGACAAAAGGGAGACAAAGGGGGAAGGGAGCGGAGGGCTGAGCTGCTGCAGAGGATGGAAATCAGGCAGGGGCTGGCAGGGGGCTGGGGGCCGGGGCGGCCTGGCTGCACGGGCAGGGGCCCGATGCCCACCCCGCGCTGGGGATGTCCCTTCTGGGAGGCTGCGGGGGGCACCGGCTCTCGCCGGGGTGCTCTGCCCCCTCCCTGGGGGGTGCGGGTGGCGGGGGTCCCCCGGGCCGTGCTGCAGTCCCGGGCAGGTGCTGGGTGGCAGTGAGGGTGCTGGGGGGCAGGCTGCAGGGAGCGCCCCGGGGTGCTGCCCACCTGCCCCCCACCCCGCAGGCGCTGGAGGAGGTGAAGATGTCCGGCTCCATCGCCTCGTACGACCAGCTGGTGCGGCAGGTGGAGGCGCTGAAGAAGGAGAACAGCCACCTCCGGCGGGAGCTGGAGGACAACTCCAACCACCTCTCCAAGCTGGAGAATGAGACCTCGGACATGAAAGTGAGGACGAGCCCGGGGGGGCACGGGCCCCGTACGGGGGCTGCAGGGAAGGGCACACAGGGGCTTCCCTCCGTGTCCCCTCCCTGCCGACGGCTCCCTCCCTGTTTTAGGAGGTCCTGAAGCACCTCCAGGGCAAGCTGGAGCAGGAGGCGCGGGTCATGGTGTCCTCAGGGCAGACGGAGGTCTTGGACCAGCTGAAAGGTGGGTGCCCAGGCAGGGTGGGGCAGGGGGTCCCCGCCGAGCCCACCCTCACACCGCTGTCCCCGTCCCCAGCCCTGCAGATGGACATCACCAGCCTCTACAACCTCAAGTTCCCGCCGGAGGTGGCGGGAGCCGGGCGCAGCGCCGAGGACAGCCCGCTGCCACCCGCGCCCCATCGGGACGGCGCCGGGGACCTGGGCAGAGCCACCCTCCGGCTGCTGGAGGAGCTCGACCGGGAGAGGTGATGGCCGGGGGGGGATGCAGGGGGCCGGGGGGGCCGGGGCCGCGCTGACGGGGCTCCCCCCTCCCCAGGTGCTTCCTGCTGGGCGAGATCGAGAAGGAGGAGAAGGAGAAGGTGTGGTACTACACCCAGCTGCAGAGCCTGGCCACGCGCCTGGACGAGCTGCCCCACGTGGAGACGGTGAGTGGGGGGTCCCAGCACCCCCCAGCCCCAGGGCGCGGGCAGGACCCTGCCCCGCTCACGCCATCCCCCCCTCTGCCCCCCAGTTCTCCATGCAGATGGATCTCATCCGGCAGCAGCTGGAGTTCGAGGCCCAGCACATCCGCTCGCTGATGGAGGAGCGCTTCGGGACGGCGGACGAGATGGTGCAGCGGGCGCAGGTCAGGGTGGGCGGGAGCCGTCTCTTCCCCTCCTTGCTGCCCCCGTCCTGTGCCTGGCGGCTCCAGCTGCCTTCCCACTCCCTCCTGCCGTCTCCAGCCCTGGGCACCCTCGCACCCAGCTCCATGCACCCTTGCACCCTGCCCTGTTCAGTCTTGCACCAGCCCTGTGCATCCTCACGCCCAGCTCCATGCACCCAGCACTGTGCACCCTCACACCCAGCTCCATGCACTCTTGCACCAACTCTGTGCGCTCTTGCACCAGCCCTGTGCACCCTTGCACACCCAGCACCGTGCACCCTTGCACCCTGCCCTGTGCACCCTTGCACCAGCCCTGCGCATCCTCGCACCCAGAACCGTGCACCCTCGCACCCAGCACCGTGCATCCTCACACCCAACCCTGTGCACCCTTGCGCCCAGCACCGTGCACCCTCGCACCCAGCTCTTTGTACCCTTGCACCCGACTCTGCGCCCTCTTTCATCACCTCTGCACACCTCACGCCCAGCCCTGTGCGCCCTGGCACATTGCACCCAGCTGCCCCAGCCCCGCGCACCCTCACGCCTGGCTCTGGGGGTGCTGGGGGTCCCGGGGGGTCCCAGCCCTCACCGACACCCGCTCTGCCCCCACAGATCCGCGCATCCCGGCTGGAGCAGATCGACAAAGAGCTCATGGAGGCGCAGGACAAGGTGCAGCAGCCAGAGCCGCAGGTAGCGGGGACGAGGCTGAGCCCTGCCGGGGCCAGGGGCCATCGCTGAGGTCTGTCCCTTGTCCCCATGGGGCGGCGGAGCCCGGGGCGGGTGGAGGAGGGGGCCAGGCGCAGCCCCCCCGCCACCGTCCCCGTCCTGTCCCCGCCGCCCGCCGGCGGCACAGCCAGGGCTTTGTGTGGCTCGGGCACCGTGAAATGGGCAGTTGCCATGGAGACGAGAAGTAGGCCATGGCGCGCAGCGGGCGGGCGGGGGGACGGGCGCGATGGCTCCTGCAGCATCTGCCGGCCG